GGAACAACTCAATTGAGAAGTCTTCAGTGACCAGAAGCTTCCAGCCACTACAGTTTTGGCACTCAGTGTGTGTCTTCCAGGTAAAAGGATATTTGCTTCCATATCATTATTTTACTACATTTGAAAGGTGGTCTTTGGTGTATTTGACCTCCATTAACCCTCTGAAACTGTTTCTTTGAGTGGCTCCTGGATCTGTTGCTCAAGGATGCACATGTGCTCGTCACAGCACACACACGCTGACAGTGGTTTCTCAGTATTCCCTGATCAACACAACACGATATGCAGCCGGGGCCGCCTGCAAGTTAACTTTGATGTAAACAATCCTGGATTTAAAATACTTTAAAAAGCGGTGACTGTTTTATAAATGGGTTCCACATTCTGCTTGTACAGGTGGAGGATCCAAGAGTACACAGGATATGTTTTAGTGATGTAAAAATAACTTAAAATATACGTTTAGTTTCATAGAACAACTTAGCTGTTATTTGATCCTTTTCCAAATATTTCCTGCAGAAGGACGAGTTGCATTAAGATGTCCGTGCGTCATCCATTTGGATACACACCACCACAACCTATCAGTTATTGTGAGACTGTTGCATGTGTGTTTTGCAATAACACTTGTCTTTATTAAATACAAAAGGACTAGGGTACATGAGTATGCCACCAGGTAACAACTGACTTTATGTGGCTTGTTTTGCTGTGAAGAATAGTGAGTGTTCGAGAGGAATCCAATCAATTGTCCATTCAAACAACAGCTCAGTGCGGAGCTGACAGCACCGTCACGCGTGTCCTTTCAGCGCTCTGTGTTGTGATCAGACTCTTTCTGAATATTCCATCAGTCTCTCTCACAATGTGTCAGGTTCAGTGTAAAAGCTCTCGGCTCACAAATGGTCAAACATTAAATAAAATGATCACTAGTGTTGTTGCACTCAAGACCGGTCTGGATATTAACTCGGCCTCGCTCTCTTAAAGGTCCCCTATTACACTGTTTCTCATCAGTATATCACAGGTCTCAGATGTATACAGAGCCTCTCTCTGATTGGCTGAAACACCAAACGGATCATTGCAGCATTACCCATAATCCCCTCTGTTTCAGCCCTGTTTCCAAAGTGCTGATTCTCTGTCTGTTACTTTAGATGAAAATAAGGAGCCCCTCCCCACGCCCCTCTGAGAGAGATTTGGTTACAAAGAACTCAATGGAGCTCTAGGAGGAGATTCAGGTGATAAGGGGGGGGGGGGGGGGGGGGGGTTACCTTGGTTGCTGATTGGCTAATGGTTACACAAGACAAAACATCGTTATGACATCATCAAGTGGCCAAAATCTGATCAGCTCATTTTCAGACAGGTTTTTATAGAAATGGATCAAAAAGAGAGAGAATCTTTGTTCCTGAAACTTTCAGAGTCTCTTTCCACAGAGGGGACACATGTTGATGTAGAAGAGACATGAAGAAGAGGGGACACATGTTGATGTAGAAGAGACATGAAGAAGAGGGGACACATGTTGATGTAGAAGAGACATGAAGAAGAGGGGACACATGTTGATGTAGAAGAGACATGAAGAAGAGCGGACACATGTTGATGTAGAAGAGACATGAAGAAGAGGGGACACATGTTGATGTAGAAGAGACATGGAGAAGAGGGGACACATGTTGATGTAGAAGAGACATGAAGAAGAGGGGACACATGTTGATGTAGAAGAGACATGAAGAAGAGGGGACACATGTTGATGTAGAAGAGACATGAAGAAGAGGGGGACACATGTTGATGTAGAAGAGACATGAAGAAGAGGGGACACATGTTGATGTAGAAGAGACATGAAGAAGAGGGGACACATGCTGATGTAGAAGAGACATGAAGAAGAGGGGACACATGCTGATGTAGAAGAGACATGAAGAAGAGGGGACACATGTTGATGTAGAAGAGACATGAAGAAGAGGGGACACATGTTGATGTAGAAGAGACATGAAGAAGAGAGGACACATGTTGATGTAGAAGAGACATGAAGAAGAGGGGACACATGTTGATGTAGAAGAGACATGAAGAAGAGAGGACACATGTTGATGTAGAAGAGACATGAAGAAGAGGGGACACGTGTTGATGAAGAAGAGACATGAAGAAGAGAGGACACATGTTGATGTAGAAGAGACATGAAGAAGAGGGGACACATGTTGATGTAGAAGAGACATGAAGAAGAGAGGACACATGTTGATGTAGAAGAGACATGAAGAAGAGGGGACACGTGTTGATGAAGAAGAGACATGAACAGGTGGATTTTGCATAATAGGTCCCCTTTAATGTCTTGGTCTGGACTTGGTCTCAGTTAAGGTGGTGTTGAATACAACACTAATGATCACGATATAGTTCATTTCACCTGGTGGACTGGTGATGTGTTCCTTTCAGTCAGGTGATTGGTTATCATGTAGTTTCCTTTAATAAAAAAATATAATGAAACATGTTTTTTAATTTATAAAACAGCTCTGCAGTTGTCTTACCGTGAAGACACATGTATTAGAATATTTGCTGCAAAATCTGTTAACCCCCACTTTCATTACAGGCAGCCATCAATGGAGTGATACCACAGGAGAATGGGATCTTACAAAGGTACACACACACACACACACACACACACACACACACACACACACACACACCCCCCCCTCTACCATCAACTGTAGATCTTGAAAACACATATGATGTTTTAATGTAATATGATTATTTCACAAGTACGAGACAGTGCCAAGTAAATATGATTTATTAATATAGGAGTAAGGATACACATCATTGAGGAGTATGTTGGGCCTGTGACACTAGTGTGCTTCAACAGGGAATATTAGCACATCAAATGTTCAAACAATGCTGGGATTAAATCCAATTTCCAAGCAAAAATATAATTAGTCCAGTTTATTCGTTTACATTTAGACTAAAACAATACATAGAACCGTCTCTATTCTGGTGTTTAATAGTTGAATAATATTAAAGACACTGCATCTGCAAGGCAACTGTCTCCCAAGAGTGGAGATGTACACGGTGTCTGAACAGAAACATATTTACTTTCCCTCAACGGTTAATATAAATACACTTTGCTGATGTGAACCCACTCAAACTGGAGACATTCGGTTAAACCGTTTTACTTTGTGTGCATGAAAGCATGTTCGTCAGTGCTGTTCAGGCTCTCTTGCCATGAGATTATTTCTGGAGTTCCTCAGGGGGGGGGGGCACACATTGCTATGAATGGAGTCTGGCAGTGTGAGCAGCAGCAAACACATTCACTAAGTGGCTGGCAGTGCACTCAGCAGCGATGCCCAGTAAACAGACTCTGATGACGGGGCTGATCTGGAGCCAGTTGGAGGACACGCCAACGCTCCCATCAAAAACACATTTCCCTCCCTGGTGTGTGCTCTTTAGTACGCGGGGTGGGAATTTGAAGAAGTTGCCTTTTTGATTAGGAGTCGAAATTCCTCAGGGCGTCAAAAATATACTGGTTGGATAAAAAGCTGAATGATCTTGTTGATCAGGGCGTCAACTGGTCCCACAGTTTGTCTGTGTGTTTAAACGTCCCCTATCATACTGTTTCTCATCAATATATCACAGGTCTCAGATATATACAGAACCTGTCTCTGATTGGCTGAAACACCAAACAGATCATTGCAGCATTACCCATAATCCCCTCTGTTTCAGCCCTGTTTCCAAAGTGCTGATTCTCTGTCTGTTACTGTAGATGAAAATAAGGAGCCCCTCCCCACGCCCCTCTGAGAGACATTTGGTTACAAAGAACTCAATGGTGCTCTAGGAGGAGATTCAGGTGATAAGGTGGGGGGGGGGGGGGTTACCTTGGTTGGTGATTGGCTAATGGTTACACGAGACAAAACATCGTTATGACATCATAAAGTGGCCAAAATCTGATCAGCTCATTTTCAGACAGGTTTTTATAGAAATGGATCAAAAAGAGAGAAAATCTTTGTTCCTGAAACTTTCAGAGTCTCTTTGCACAGAGGGGACACATGTTGATGTAGAAGAGACATGAAGAAGAGGGGACACATGTTGATGTAGAAGAGACATGAAGAAGAGGGGACACATGTTGATGTAGAAGAGACATGGAGAAGAGGGGACACATGTTGATGAAGAAGAGACATGAAGAAGAGGGGACACATGTTGATGTAGAAGAGACATGAAGAAGAGGGGACACATGTTGATGAAGAAGAGACATGAAGAAGAGGGGACACATGTTGATGTAGAAGAGACATGAAGAAGAGGGGACACATGTTGATGAAGAAGAGACATGAAGAAGAGGGGACACATGTTGATGTAGAAGAGACATGAAGAAGAGGGGACACATGTTGATGTAGAAGAGACATGAAGAAGAGGGGACACATGTTGATGTAGAAGAGACATGAAGAAGAGGGGACACATGTTGATGTAGAAGAGACATGGAGAAGAGGGGACACATGTTGATGAAGAAGAGACATGAAGAAGAGGGGACACATGTTGATGTAGAAGAGACATGAAGAAGAGGGGACACATGTTGATGTAGAAGAGACATGAAGAAGAGGGGACACATGTTGATGTAGAAGAGACATGAAGAAGAGGGGACACATGTTGATGTAGAAGAGACATGAAGAAGAGGGGACACATGTTGATGTAGAAAAGACATGAAGAAGAGGGGACACATGTTGATGTAGAAGAGACATGAAGAAGAGGGGACACATGTTGATGTAGAAGAGACATGAAGAAGAGGGGACACATGTTGATGTAGAAGAGACATGAAGAAGAGGGGACACATGTTGATGTAGAAAAGACAAGCTACATATAAAAATTGAATTTTTCATAATAGGTGACCTTTTAGAGATCCTCTGCTTTAGGACATCTCCTCAATTTCACAGGAGAACAGCGCCATCTAGATGTAGAGAAATATAGCAATACACCCAAACAGCAACAACTGACAATGTACAGCTCTTTAGTGTCACTTTGCCAAGTTAATGTGGAAGTTTTGATCTTTTTAACTTGTTGTGAATGCTTCTTATTTTTATATATACTGACTTTTTGACATATATTGTCTTTACTTAGAAACTTCTCTTCGTAAAAATGGTATTCCTTAATGCCAAGAAAAAACATTGTTTACCTTTTTATCATTTCTCTATCATCTCTATCTCCCCTACAATACTATGTAAACATTTTTCAATAATAATGAGGATAATGAGACAAAATTCTCAGTCAGTAGGGGACTGTGAGCCGTAGGGTCGCCGGTTCAAGTCCCTGAACAGACCTAAATATGGAGAGCGGACTGCTACTTGGAGAGGTCCCAGTTCACCTCCTGCCCTGCCGTGGTGCCCTTGAGCAAGGCACCGGACACCCCCCTTCCCCCCCACTCCCATTGCTCCCCGGGCGCTGTGCAATAGCTGCCCACTGCTCCTAGTGCTAGACTCCTGGTGCTAGGATGGGTTAAAAGCAGAGAACACATGTCACTGTGTGCTGTGTGACCATTACAGAGGGGTTCATCCCTCCTATTCTATTATATACCGTTGTCGCAATATCAGTCAAAAATAATCGCAATCATTCATTTTTTTTCAAAATTGTGCAGCCCTAAATCCTAACGGGCCGTCCACACAGCAGCTTTGACCAAATCTTGAAAATCCTGGAGCTGGGCGTGTCTGACAGCTTGGGGATTTCGCGACCAACAACCAATCACATGAATATCACATGAATATCCCGCCCCCGACATACAAAGCAAAAAAACCCGGTTCTTCTACACTATTGTCAAATAGGAAGGGCTATGATGAACATTTATTTTTTTAACATTTTGAACATTTATGAGATTAATGTTTATGGTGCTATTTTATGCTACATTCCATGCTGGCTAATGATACTGTATATGCTTGCTAGCAACGAAGTAAACTGGATATAAAATCCCCAAACAAGCGAAAACCTACCAGTTTCACCCACTGCCTCTGCCACCTCCCTCCATGCCTGGTTCCTCCGGTTTGTATCCCGGTAAATAGTTCTGGTCGTAAAGAACCGGGTGATTTTCTACCGTAATTTCTCGTTTGGAATATGAGGAAATTAACTGCGGTCTGGTTCTCCCTGCTTACACGCGGTTTGATTGGCTAGAGCTTCTACTGTCAGATTTGCATAAACGGGTTTGATTGGCTGTCGCTTCCAGCTCAGCCTCAAAAGTTGAACATTGTTCAACTTTGGAATCCTGAACATCCTGGAAATCCTGGAAATCTTCGCCTCGCCCCCCCACAATGCAGTTCGGCGACAAGCGAGGGAAAGTGACGTCATCCCCATTCAAAGTCAATGGGCGGAGAAGCGGTGGACAAATCGCCAAAAGCTGCTGTGTGGACGGGCCGTAAGGCATGACAATGTCCAGCATTCAGATGGTTTTTCAAATGTTTTAAGTCACAGACAGGGATTATCTTGTCTTTTCATTAAAGGTCCCATGTCATGCTTTTCTGGTTATTACCCGTCCCCTTGTGTGTTATGAAGGTTTGTATGCATGTAAATGGTCTGCAGAGTCACAAACCCTCAAAGTACACCCTGTAGCGAGTAAAACTCTAACACAGAAAATACCTCCCCAAAACGTCTCGTTGGAGATACGTCATTGTCCATTTGATTCTTCCGGGGACGCATGATGTCAACCGTACCCGGAACGAAATGGACCAATCCGTGGAGCCGCTACGTTACGTCCGCGGAGCCGTTACGTTAAGCCCCCGCTGATTGGTCCAAATTGACCAATCCACGGACTTCCTCACACATTCAGTGCAGGCAGCTCTGCTGATCTCTCCTCCCTGGCTGCAGGCTGATAACAGACAGTTGGGATCGCGGAGAAATTCTCTCTGCAGACCCATTCTCTCTGCAGACCCATTCTCTCTGCAGACCCGTTCTCTCTACAGACCCATTCTCTCCGCAGACCCATTCTCTCTGCAGACCCATTCTCTCTGCAGACCCATTCTCTCTACAGACCCATTCTCTCCGCAGACCCATCTCTCCGCAGACCCATTCTCTCGCAGACCCATTCTCTCTGCAGACCATTCTCTCTGCAGACCCATTCTCTCCGCAGACCCATTCTCTCCGCAGACCCATTCTCTCTGCAGACCCATTCTCTCTGCAGACCCATTCTCTCCGCAGACCCATTCTCTCCGCAGACCCATTCTCTCTGCAGACCCGTTCTCTCTGCAGACCCGTTCTCTCCGCAGACCCGTTCTCTCCGCAGACCCGTTCTCTCTACAGACCCATTCTCTCTGCAGACCCGTTCTCTCTGCAGACCCGTTCTCTCTGCAGACCCATTCTCTCTGCAGACCCATTCTCTCTGCAGACCCATTCTCTCTGCAGACCCATTCTCTCTGCAGACCCATTCTCTCTGCAGACCCATTCTCTCCGCAGACCCGTTCTCTCCGCAGACCCGTTCTCTCCGCTGACCCATTCTCTCTGCAGACCCGTTCTCTCTGCAGACCCGTTCTCTCTGCAGACCCATTCTCTCCGCAGACCCATTCTCTCCGCAGACCCATTCTCTCTGCAGACCCATTCTCTCTGCAGACCCGTTCTCTCTGCAGACCCATTCTCTCTGCAGACCCATTCTCTCCGCAGACCCACCCGTTCTCTCTGCAGACCCGTTCTCTCTGCAGACCCATTTTCACCGTCTCTCCGCAGACCCATTCTCTCTGCAGACCCGTTCTCTCTGCAGACCCATTCTCTCTGCAGACCCATTCTCTCTGCAGACCCATTCTCTCAGCGTTTATCAACCTTTTTCTTACTCAATATCAAGCCACACTTATTGTTTTTACTTCCGCTGTGACTTTGTGTGTGCTCAGGATGAGTTTGGCTGTGTTTCGCTGTGTATCGCTAAACAAGGAAATCACACCTCCACGGAGATCAGCGCGATTCACAACGTCCCGACCAATCGGAGCACACTGGGCTCACAGGGAGGGGGGGGCAAGAGCTGCAACGAGCCGTTTAGTGGAGAGAGTGAATACACGTAGTTTACAGAGATGCTGTATGCGAAACCAATGTGAGTTTGGAAAATTGCACAGTATAAATCTATTCTAGTAGACCTCAACAATGGAACTGTGATCAGTGGAAATGGCCATGACACGGGAGCTTTAAGTCTTGCAGAGGGTTTAATGTATGTCATCCATCAACTCCTGAAAAACTTTATTTGTACAGTAAATCTTAAAGAAAGGTTAATATTGAGGGATTTGAATATGTCACTTTTTTGGCAACTTTTTTTTCTGTAGCTATTCTCCTTGTCCAATTATAAGTTTAGGATCTTCAAATATTAGTCAATGTGTCACTGAAGTGCCTCGTGAAGGAGACGGTTACAATGTGCTTCTGTTTGGGTGGGTTTATTTCACTCTTCTGTACAGAGTGTTCTTGTGGCTGCCGACACTCAACCTTCGCCTCAGGACCTCTCGAAGGTGGCGGCCAAATAAAATAGAGCTCTTTGTCAGAAAGCCTGAGTCTGGCACTCTGTTCTGAGACAGTTGCTGCTCACTCTCCAGGGAACAAAGGGCACACTTTGTTCGTGTTCAGGAGACAAAGAGTGATTATTTACTGTGTTGTGTGAAGCATGGGTCGTACTCAGCCAGCGGCAAAGAAAAGAACCAAAGAGAATTAAGGAGGGGAGCCGTGTGTTGCTACAGTTTGTTGTCTTGCTGTAACCTCTGATGGTTCTTTACTATCAGGTTAGAGACAACATATTTGACTAGCCACATGAAATAGTCGATGCCAATACCAATGAAATTAAACAATTCTCCACATAGAAACAAAGAACAATTCCCTTGTACTTCAACATAAACCTTTTCCATCTGCATGCTGTTTTCTTTAGGGAGTTAAACCGGTCATCATTACCACTCTAATATCTATTCTATTTTGCTGTGATTATTACAATTTCCCTCCATTATCGATATTTTGACAAGTTTATACTTAAACACATCCTAATGTTAGAACTTACCTTTGCCCAATAATCATTTTTGACTAAACAGAGCTTGAAAGCATCACGATATAACTCGATGAAAGTCGCTCCGAGCGTTTGTTTAACGCTTACAGCTAACAGCTAACAGCTAACAGCTAACCCTACACAATGTACTCATGGTACATATGAGTACTGTAACATTTTCAGGACTTTTGCATCAAATTGGTACAGAAGCTTTGATTCTTGTGACATCCTTAGCTAAAAATCATATGCATAGATATTTGTCTTTCTTGTAACATCTTTTAGGTTGTCTTTGTCTTCTGTCCCTCATGGTCTGCCATGAAAGACATTTTGAAGATGTGTGAACATTTAACAATCAGTATTCCACACCTTCACTGACCTCTTCACCTCTGTGCAGTAACTTTTCCAGCGAGGCGAGCCAGGCCGGCATATTCGGACCGCCGAGCCAATCGGAAGCAGCCGATGCTGCGGCAGGAGGCGCCGTTCCCACCCCTTCTTCTTCGTCTTTGTCCTCCTCTCCTCCATCGTCCTCCACTTCAGCCTTTTGCCCCGTCAACTCCGCCTCCGCCTCCTCTTCCTCTTCCTCCTCCTCCCGACAGATCGTAGAGCGCCAGCCCCGGATGCTGAACTTCAGGGTGGAGTACCGGCAGCGCACGGTGGACCTGGTGCTGGAGGAGGGCAGCACAGTCGGTAAACACCACACCATCTCAGTAAACATTGTACAATCTATTTTATATTCTATAGAAACATTTATTAGCTACTACAAATATACACACTGGAGAATAACAGAAATCAAACTGTATATAGTACTTTTTCTCTATGAATCTGTTTTACAGGAGAAATCAAAACAATCCTCGAGACAGAGCTCGCGGTTCCAGTGTCCAAAATGCAGCTGAAGGGATGGAAGAGCGGAGATGTTTCCGATACTGTGAGTTTACACGCCCTTTAAACGCAAACACAACGCATCATTAAGAAAAAGGAAATGGAACTGAACCTACAAACGTTCATATTTTCAATTGTTTGCAATTTGAGTTTATTATCTGTGTTTTAATCCAAATACATTTGATTATGTTTACATAAGGCGCTTTCACACCAAGTACTTTGCCGTACTTAGTTCCCAGTACTTAGTTCAGGGGTGCCCATTACGTCGATCGCAAAGGTAGATCGCAAAGGTAAAGGCAAAGGTAGATCGCAAAGGTAGAGGTAAAGGTAGAGGCAAAGGTAGATCGCAAAGGTAGATCGCATGGCATTGAAAAAAAAAAAAAAAAAGTGATCCTATCATCCATCCTTACTGTGGCATTTGCCACTTGATTGACGTACAGGTAAGCCAGTCTGAGTTGTATTGTGCCATACAGGTTCATGCAGTTATGAGGGGGCCTCACCTTCTCATCTGCGGCGCAATTAGTGTAAGCGCGCCACAGTTTACCCGCCGTTTACCCCACTAGCACCCCCCTTCGCGCTCGCGACACAGATTGGGCAGGGGCGGCCCTGTAGGTAGATCTTTTGGGCTTGGTCATTTTAAAAGTAGCTCCCAAGCTGAAAAAGTGTGGGCACCCCTGACTTAGTTCATCAGAACTCTTTAGTTCTAATGAATTAAGGGGAAATCGCGTTCACACCGGAATAAGTCCCTGAGGGAGGATTAGGCTAATGAAGCCGCTGACGTCACTTCTTCTTATTCTGCTTTGGGTTTACTGGCAGGCCGCAAACAACTTCACGGCATATACTGCCACCCGAAGTCCCCGGCCGGAAGTCCCCGGAGTTGGGGAGTTATTCTTTCTCCGTTGGTGCGCTGGGCTAATGCTAATGCTAATAATGCTAATGCCAGCAAATAAAATGGCGGCTTCACAAAACTTTTCCGAGTTTTACGGGGCGTGGTTTGCAATTCGCCCAGCCAATCAGACATTGGAACCTTTTCCTCCCTTTTTAGTCTAAAAAGGGAGGAAAAGGTTTGCAAAAAAAAGTTCTAGTTCCAGATCTTTTTGGTGTGAAAGAAAAATCCCAGGAACTATCAGAACTATTCCTGGGAAAAGTACTCCGGTGTGAAAGCGTCTATAGTTACATTTTTTTAAAGTTTTTTATTTATTGACTTATAACGTCAATGCAAGTGCTTTGTTCAAAATACAAATCTCCTTGTTTTTACATACAGTATACATACAACACATCAAAGAAGCCAGCTTATTACATGCCTAAAATATCAAAAATATATATTAAAAGCTGGCAAAGATTCCCTTCTAAGCAGCATCTGTGGCCAAGTAAGAATCACATCACTGATCCTCACGGCCTTATATTACCTGTTACCAAACAATTAGTCCAATTTTGATTTACCTGAAAACAATATTTCCACTTCCAACGAAGAAGTTGTTCTCAGTTCTGTCATAATATTCTTTAGGAGATGAAATAAGTATACATTCAGATGTAGTGAGAACACGTGTATTCCCTCAACTAATCATCATCCTCACAGCCAGTCATTCTTAATGAGTTGAACTATTTTTAAGTTGTATTTGTGTGTGTGTGTGTGTGTGTGTGATCAGACGGTGATGAGAAGTTTACACCTGCCTAAGAACAACAGCCTGTATGTCCTGACCCCAGAGATCGCCTCTACTGCCGGCACCAGCACCAGCAAAAACAGGTACACAACTCTCACTCTGGTTTTCATTTCTTATCTCATAATTTAAAATCCTCCGCTAAGGCAAGACAAGTTATTTATAAGGCACGTTTCAATAGAAGGCAACACAAATTACCTTGAAAACACATTAAAAGTATTCAGATATAGTGCAACAAAAACACATTTAAAATCACATTTAGATACATTAGAAAATAGACATTAAAGGTCACCTATCATGCTATTTTTAGGCAATAGCATGATAGCATATAGATATATAAAAAAATATAAAAAACATGTCTATGAAGTGCTTTGCTCAAAATACCAAACAGATCATTCTAGCCATGCCTCATATCCCTCTATTTCACTTCCTGTTTCTAAAGTGCTGATTTTTGGTATAAAGCTTTAAAAAATAAAATAATTGATAACAAATAAAAGAGGAGGGGTCTGAGCTCATGCGGGACACGGCAGCTACTGTCTAAACTAAATGCTGCCGTGATGAAATGCCATATCATGGATGATCAAGGATTCTCTCTGAAACAGTCTGGAGCTCAAAGGCTTTCTCTCTTGCCGGTTATACCACAAGGTGAGTTCCTTTTTACTTCCTGCTTCTTCACACACATGCTCTCCAGTACAGGTTAGCTCTGAGTGTTAGCGATGCTAATGTGAACACCGACCATATTACGTCCAAAACAGTCGGGCATTGTTTCTGATAGCAACGTTTCTGATTGGGCCGTGGGTCCACATTTCAGATATTACGTCATATCGGACGCAAATCTGGATCAGCTCCGTTGTTCCCCGTTTTTAGAGATTTGGGTACGGAGGAAAAGAGAGGGTTTTATTTTCTGACGCTGCGTGAGTTCCCTGACACACCGGGGACACATGTTGATGTAGAGAAGACATCAAAAAGTGTATTTTGCATGATAGGTCCCCTTTAAGATAATATAAAATACAAGAATAAAAGTTACAGTTCAGTGTAAGATATAAATAGTTATTTAATTTAATGAAAGGCAGCACCGATAATAAAGTCTTCAGCCTGGATTAAAAAGAGGTAAGAGTTGCAGCGGACCTGCAGGTTTCTGGGAGTTTGTTCCTGATATTTGGAGCATAATAACTGAACGCTGCTTCTCCATGTTTAGTTCTGACTCTGGGGACAGAAAGCTGATCCTAATGGTTCAGAAGATCTGAAATGTATTCTGGCGGAAAATTATTCAGTGCTTTATAAAACAGCAGTAGTATTTTTAAAGTGAGCTCTAGGTCTCTTATTATACTGTTTCTCATCAGTATATCACAGGTCTCAGATATATACAGAGCCTCTTCCTGATTGGCTGAAACACCAAACCGATCATTGCAGCATTACCCATAATCCCCTATGTTTCAGCCCTGTTTCCAAAGTGCTGATTCTCTGTCTGTTACTTCAGATGAAAATAAGGAGCCCCTCCCCACGCCCCTCTGAGAGACATTTGGTTACAAAGAACTCAATGGTGCTCTAGGAGGAGATTCAGGTGATAAGGGGGGGGGGGGGGGTTACCTTGGTTGCTGATTGGCTAATGGTTACACAAGACAAAACATCGTTATGACATCATAAAGTGGCCAAAATCTGATCAGCTCATTTTCAGACAGGTTTTTATAGAAATGGATCAAAAAGAGAGAGAATCTTTGTTCCTGAAACTTTCAGAGTCTCTTTCCACAGAGGGGACACATGTTGATGTAGAAGAGACATGAAGAAGAGGGGACACATGTTGATGTAGAAGAGACATGAAGAAGAGGGGACACATGTTGAGTGTAGAAGAGACATGAAGAAGAGGGGACACATGTTGATGAAGAAGATGGGGACACATGTTGATGTAGAAGAGACATGAAGAAGAGGGGACACATGTTGATGTAGAAGAGGCATGAAGAAGAGGGGAGGGGACACATGTTGATGTAGAAGAGACATGAAGAAGAGGGGACACATGTTGATGTAGAAGAGACATGAAGAAGAGGGGACACATGTTGATGTAGAAGAGACATGAAGAAGAGGGGACACATGTTGATGTAGAAGAGACATGAAGAAGAGGGGACACGTGTTGATGTAGAAGAGACATGAAGAAGAGGGGACACGTGTTGATGTAGAAGAGACATGAAGAAGAGGGGACACGTGTTGATGTAGAAGAGACATGAAGAAGAGGGGACACGTGTTGATGTAGAAGAGACATGAAGAAGAGGGGACACGTGTTGATGTAGAAGAGACATGAAGAAGAGGGGACACGTGTTGATGTAGAAGAGACATGAAGAAGAGGGGACACGTGTTGATGTAGAAGAGACATGAAGAAGAGGGGACACGTGTTGATGTAGAAGAGACATGAAGAAGAGGGGACACGTGTTGATGTAGAAGAGACATGAAGAAGAGGGGACACGTGTTGATGTAGAAGAGACATGAAGAAGAGGGGACACGTGTTGATGTAGAAGAGACATGAAGAAGAGGGGACACGTGTTGATGTAGAAGAGACATGAAGAAGAGGGGACACATGTTGATGTAGAAGAGACATGGAGAAGAGGGGACACATGTTGATGTAGAAGAGACATGGAGAAGAGGGGACACATGTTGATGTAGAAGAGACATGAAGAAGAGGGGACACATGTTGATGTAGAAAAGACATGAAGAAGAGGGGACACATGTTGATGTAGAAAAGACATGAAGAAGAGGGGACACATGTTGATGTAGAAGAGACATGGAGAAGTGGATTTAGCATAATAGGTGACCTTTAAAGATCTCAAAACTCAATAAATGAATGAAATTGTATTTATATAGCTCTCAAATTACACATTTCTCTAAAGGGGCTTTACATACAGCATACAGTACAACACCCTCTGTCCTAAGACCCCTGCAGCGTACAATAAATTAACGGATGAACAGACGTGCAAAAGCTGTTGTGTGTATACATTACAAAGATAATACATTTACAACATAGGCAATCCAAATGTCAGGAGAAGATAATGTGTTCATATATATAAAAATATGTGTTACATATACACAAGTAACACTACTGTTTATGGTGTGAGCGTAGTACCTAATAACGACACCAGGTGGCAGTATATGTCCAGGTATTGAGAACATGTGTCCAGAATCCATTTCCTCTGTATATTAAGAGACATTTGACCTGCTGGTGCACATTCGTTTTCTCATATCTATTGTGACATTTTGAGAGGAACATCTACCGCTCCATCTCTTGTGTAAATAATAATCCTCCCTTCCCTCTTTGTTTCTTTCACCCTGAAATTGTTGCTTGCCGTAGGGTTGTTTTTGCATCATACTCTTCAAAGACATACGATATCTACACTTCATATCTATTATTTATTCCTCTCCAGGCTGTTACATTAGTGATAGTACCCAGTTTGAGTAGATATTTGTTCAGTCAGCTTCATTAAGCTGCTGTTCTCCATCCAGAGGGTGTTCTGTTCATTTCAGTGGATCCGTGTTGGGAACCTTTCCTTTTTTAAATGTCAGGCAGAAATACAATCTCACAGGTGGCATCTGAACATGTGATTTTCCTTTCATCAGTGTCGGGTAAACACCAGCCAAAGAAGTCATAATTCTTCCCTCGTTTCATCTGAATACTGCGGGGTGACCAAGACATATTTATTCTTAATTTAAATAGCAAGAGAGTGTTGGACTGGTAAAATAGATATACTGTAAATATGAATATCTTGTCTGCGAGCCATATTGGACGGCAGAACGGAAAAAGCAGAAATATGAGGGCCCAATGACAAGAATGTAAATTAGGGAAGAATACAGGCATACTAGATTTATGCTTGATTAGTTTAAGCTTCGATAAAAAGCAGTTAGGAAAAGGTAATACAGCAGGATTACTTACATTATTTCATAAATAGCATACGAAGAAATAGAAAAAAATGATTGTATATTGTTTAAAGTGAAAACAAAGATAGATAGTGTTTGGAAAATAATTAGCAGAGTTATTTAGAAAACCATATTTCACCTGTTGATCACTTTTGAATTGCATCTAACTGAAAAAGGATTAAATATAAGATGTATTGCAAGCTTTTAACATCTCCTTGTGAGGTCCTTTTTCCAGGGTTCTTACGGTCATTAAAAACCTGGAAAAGTCATGGAAATTCAAAATGCTAATTCCAGGCCCTGGTAAAGTTTTGGAAAACAATATTTTTCCCAAAGTGTTGGAAAAGTCATGGAAATGTAACTAAAGTTGCATCAAATATAATTTATATTTTATCTAATCGCCGAAATTCTAATACTATAATGATAATAAATACTGTATCGTATAGTAATGAAACGTAAAATGGCTTTTAACTGACGAGGTGTTTTGCTGGTGAGAGATTTGAGTTGCTTCAGCGTGAAGCTAGCAAGCCTATGTGATTTGTTTCAGATAGGCAACATGTTTCAGATGTAGACCTTAATTTCCTGTTCGATGTTAAAATACATTTTCAGTGGCACCGCTGAGAAAGAGTCATTTATTTGGTCATGGAAAATGAGGTAAAGGTCATGGAGAGTCATTGGTGAAAAAGTGTATGAACCCTATCTTTTATTATTTGAATTCAGGTTTTAAGTATGGTATCATTTTGTCAGCACAGAAAAACTGTGTTAAAGTGTTATTTAGAAATGTTACAGTTTCTTTATATATATATATATTATCATCACTAAATTGTACAAAGCACAATCCCTTTTTGTTTTGTTGACTATCACAAGATTTTAGCCTGGATTTTTTAAAGATTGAATTCATTTAGGGAGGCGTGTGGCGCAGTGGGTAGTGCGCTGGTGTTGGGATCAGGGGATTACAGGTTCAAACCCCACTGCAGTCAGCATGTCGTTGTGTCCCTGAGACACATCACCCCAAAGTGCTCCTGTGGGGATTGTCCACAGTATTGAGTATGTAAGTTGCTTTGGATAAAAGCGTCTAACAAGTCACATGTAATGTCATTTAAATGTATGGATTTGGAGGTGGCAGTCGTTTTGTTTTGTTAAAGTAATCCAGACCTATAGCTGACGAGTTGTTTTTTTTGGATCAATT